GTCTTTTCACAGGATGTTATTCCCTTGCTAGCTTGTTCTGTTGGGAGAGGATACCTAAGCTTTCCTCTTGGCCAGGCAGACATCCCACTCTGCATCAAAACAGAGAAGCACTTCTGAGCTGCGTGGTCCAGAGTGTTGACCAAAAGCCTTGCTTTGACCCAAGGTGCCAGGCTGAGGTGGTTTGACAGCTCCTCTCTTTCGCCGTGGTGCTGTTATGTGCTTCAGCATCTAAGCAGCTTCCTTCTTCAGTGAAGGATTTCCAGGGCAGGAACCTGCCAGTCCTCTCCTTTGCAGCCCAATGCACTGTGGTTGGCCAGGACACAATTAAAATGTTCTGCATCTCTTACAACRCAAGGTCTCCAGGGAATGGATTTTTGGGAAGGTTAAGATCAGGTCTATAAACCCCAAGATTTAATGTCCCTTTATCTTCCCATAGAGGAACTTGTTCTTTTAACTGCCTCAATCTCGATACACCCTGTGTGTTGCAAGTGGCCCAATTTCTTTGTCTCCTGACATCCTGAACCCAGAAGCAGATGGACGTTAACCAGCTCTGATTAGTTGGGAGAATCAAGCATTAATTTTTTATACGCAGAACCACCTGAGTGACGGAAATCAATTACAGCTGCCCCTCCCCCTTCCATATTAATGTGTTGGCTCTGAGCAGAGATGGAGGGACCTGTTGAAACRAGAAACCCCTATTTCTTCATTTGACCCTCTAGATAATTAGGGTTAAATTGATATGCTATCGCACTGGTGACACATTTTATCTGCCTCTGTTTGTACAAGAGGATACAATAGTGGAGGAAGGACCAATTTGTGCCCTGCTCTAGCTAACCAGACTGAGATAAAAGGTGTCACTAGTATGATAACGTTCTTGCCTCATGCTCCTTTATTGTTGCTCAATTTGCCTTTTTTTTTTTTTTTAATCCTGTTCTTTTTCTTTCAATACCCTTGGTCATATTTTAACTCCATGCCATCGCATAATGACGCCCTGCTAAATGTGTGTGGAGATAGGCAACTCTGGCTGACAGCCTTCCCTGATAACCGAATTCCAGCCCATCCATCACTAGGCTGCTCTCCTTAACTTAAGGAAAGTGATAACTAAAGCAAGGCCGTTTATCACCGCTGAGCTGTGCGCTTCTTGCTGCCTTGGACAGAGCTGGCTTCAACAGCAGAAATGCAGCCATGTCACTTCACCTCCTATTTGCATCCCGTTCATCTCCAGGCCCCGTTTACCCTGCAGGGTGGTGAAGCAGGGCTGGATGGAAATTGGAGCTTGGGGTGGCAAAAGCTCTCTGAAAACAGTGCAGAGTTGCCACTGCTGGCCATGGTCTAAGAAAGATTTTGCTTTGCTTGGCTGGGGGAGGAGAGCGTGCTACCTGATACTGCTTGCTCTTCTGCCCAAAGTGGGTCTGCATTCTGGGAGCAGGCAGAGGTCATATACTCCCACCTCTGCTTCTGGGGGGACAGAGCACCACTGAAGAGCTGCATTGGAGGCTGGAAAACCCCACAGCCATTTTCAARTTTCTCTCTATCAAATTCAGTCAGTGTCTGGCTGATGGGGTAGTTTTTGAAAGCCAGCTTCCTTCCCAAGGAGTGAGAGCATCAGTGTTTGGGAAGCCAGTTAGACCTCGTTCAAAAGCTGGAAGGATCATGGGATGTTGAATGCAGCAAAATGTGCCATCATTTCTCCCTTACTTGAGGGAGGGCCGAATCCTGAGCAGCCTGCTCAAGCAAAGCTGCCCTCATTGAGCAAGTTTTGCTCTGGCAAGAGCAAGAAGCCATACAAAGCATAAAAGCTTATTTGTTCAATAAGTGAATGCTCAAGTGAGTRGTGGCCCTGATAAACAGACATACTTCCTTACAGGTCACAGTACTTCTGTTCCCCAGRACAGCCACAGATGTACCTTATTCAATTCAGCCTGGAAAAGATGGTGGAGAAAGTCCTGCCTGTCACCAGGCTGAAGGGGGGGGGGACCACTGCAGGTGACACTCTTGGAGCTGGGAAAAAGATGTTGCAGGGGTATTTTCCTCCCCATAGCTACCTGGAAACCTGGTTTCTGTGCAGCAAAAATCCCCGGTTCCCTTTGCCAGGGGTGCTGCATATTCGGACTAAACCAGACCCATCTAGCAATCCTTTGCTAATCCTCGCTCAGTGGCTGTGTCCTCAATGGCCTGGAGCCACCAGGACTKCCTCTTGCAGCTCAGGGATAGACTTATGTTGTGGTCTGTGCTGCTGACAGCCTGCCCAGGTTATAACATGAGTGTTGGTCTCCTGCTGCTTGAAAAACTTGAAGCCCCTCTGCTGCTGACAAGAAATGAGGGGAGCACAAGCATGGAGGGGGAGGGGGAATGTCCTGGGGTCACACAGCTTCACAGGCAGTTTCTGGAGTTGTTACTTGTTTGCAAAAATGCRTCATTTATTTCGTTGACATATTTATTTGGAGCATTTATTTTCTCCAATTAAAGACCCACTGTCCAGCGCCCAGGGCACACTGCCATCAGTCTCAGGGTGAAAATAGAACCAGACTGTCCAGTTTGCTGGGCCTTTTGGTCCCACAGGGATGGCAGTGCTTTAGATGTCATTCATTGCACTGGGTGGTTTGCTGTCAATTCCTGTGGCTAACAAGAACAATGCTGCACTTAGTTCTTCTGGGCCCTATCCAGATGTTAGCTGAATTGATAATTTTTCCTCCACCTGGAGCTAGGCTGAGACCTGTATTAATGAAAGCCTCTTAGSTTAGGAGGAGAAACTTCTTTTGTAACATACCTAGCTTCTGTCATCATCCTCTCTARCTAAATGTGAGCAGTCTGAAAGAGGTTGAGCTAATCAAGTGCCTATATTTAGACCAGTTGTTTGTTTTAGATTTTTCCTCTTCTTGTATCTTTCTTGATTTGGGCACCAGCAAAAGGTAGCTTTCCTGCAGAAAGAGCTTTGTTGGCATGCTGATTGGGGCTGGTCAGGTSTTTTTGCCTAAGGGATGTCATGGGCAGCTGTGTAATGGCTGTGAAATGCATGGGCCAGGCTGCTGTTTGTGTGGCAGCTRTGCAGTAGTGAGAAATGACTCCAGGTGCTTTATTTCAGTGCAGTGGCATCAGATGAGCTGTGCCCAGGAATGGGACTGTGCTGTCAACTTGCACTGCTTACCCTGCATACAATCGTGGCCCTGCTCCTTGGAAGCTCATTCTTTTGACTTCCTGCTTTCTAAGAGCTTCCTCTGGACATTCTTATTCAAGTGTGTTTGTATGACTTAAATTATTGGTCCTAAATCATCACATGTGCATCTTCTCAGGACCAGGCATTTGACTTTGGCCCAGAAAGGCTATTCCTTTCTTAGCCTAAGCAGGGCAAAGRTGGTACACAGGTGGGTTCCAGTGTGTGCTGGCTCTGTTGCCCACATATTCCCAGGAGATTCCTTTGGATGTGTTTCTCAGCTTCCTTCCTTTTCTTCCTATAGAAATGGAGGAGTCATCAAGACCAGACTGCTCTGGTACTGCACTAYCCTGAGTCTCACATTATCTGCAAGTGCATTATCTGTGTTGCTCCTTCATCCCTTTCTTGGGGAAATGTCTGGAGAGATGCTTCCCTGTACACCAAAGGGCTTGGAGTTGGGCTGAGCATGCAGATACTGCCAGGGATGCTGATGRTGCACCTTGGGGTGTTTACCTTGTATCCACTTCTCACCAGGACTTGTTCTGTATCACAGTCTTGAGTCTGAAGTCTCGTCTATACTGTTCACTCTTTCCTCCTTGGAGAGCAGAAGAATTTGCCCTGGACRTGGTGGTCTGTGTTCAGATGACTAAGCAGCTGATGCTGGCACTCATATCTCTTCCTCCTACCCTACAATCTCYTCCTACAACCCTCATGTGCCTGAGGAAGTTGGGAGATTCCCCACCCCTTTCTGTTTGCAAAAGCCAGTTTCTGGGGTTGTGACTTTTAACATGCACAAACAGCTCTAATTTAGTCATTTATTTAGTTGACATATTTATTTGGGATGTTCCTTTGCTTCACTTAAAGATCCCGTGACCAGTGCCCCAGGCACACTCAGCAGTATGTGAATGAACAAGATCCATCAATTACTCTTGATCAGATCAAAGTGGCCAGGGAAAACTCATATAACTCATGTCCCTGCACAGGCATGGCTGGAGCCACACGACTCAGTGTTCTGTGGCTGAGGGGCACATCCTCACTCCCCTGCAAACRCACTGGGATTGGCATAGTGTGGGAGAAAAAGCTTTCCTGAGGTGCTGCTGTCCCTTCAGGCAATGCATCTCCCTTGCCGGTGCTGTTTTGTTTAGAGCCCTATTCCATCGGCTTATTATAGGAAGGGAGAGCATAAATGTGTGTGCTCACAGCGCTGGCTGCTGTGTTCACATCCCTACTGAGACAGTGTGCACCACCTTGTATCTTCAGAGTTTTGTCTGCACTCTTATTCCAAGCACCTGCTTGGAAAACAGCCTCTGCCTTCTTAGCCCGACAGCGTTGCTATCCAGAAAGCACTTAGGTGCTTCCTTCCCTCCTTCATGTTTCATTTGATGTTTTAACCATAAAGGCCAAATGGAGAAGCACCAGGGCACGACAGGTGAATTGTCAGTCCTTCTGTCTACCCTGTAAGCCGCTGGCAGAGCAGGATGATTTTGAGGGATTTGTGATGAGTTCACTTAGCCAAGGACAGCCTAGATACTCCAGTGGTGTTTGTGTGTTAGCTAGTGTGGAGAAGAGCTGAGTGCTGCAGTTGCACACTGCAACTGCTGTTCAAAATATTTAGTCTAAAAGGTTTCAGCAGCCTGGATGTGGCTGGATGTATAKAAGTCTTAAGCCAAGCAGTACTCATGAGATTTTTTTTTGCCAAGAGCTATGGTGTTTCTGATGTTGCAGCATGATGTTACAGCAGACTTGAGAGTCTTTTCCATCTCTGAACAAAATGCACTTAAGAAAACAGAGTTTGTGTTGTCAAGACACTGATTGAATCAAACTTGCTCTTTCTTCTCTCTTACAGGTTACCAGGACAATGCCAGTACTTAGGGCTGCCGGTTGCTGATTACTTCAAACAGTGGATTAATCTGAAAAAGGTACTTCTGTGCAAACTGCCATGGTCCCTGTCTCCCGGTCTCCCTCCTCCCCTTGTCCTTCACTTTTCCTCTTTAAGGAGGTGTCTAATAACTACTGCTGTTTTGCATTGAAATGAGTTATTTTCTCAGAAGCTGGGCTGAGCGAATCCTCCAGCTCCCTATTGTATCTCTTCTAATAGAGTCTTACTATACTTGATGGGATGTGTTCTGCAGCTGGGGAGAATCCCATTGTGGCAGGCACAGTGAGATGTCTCTGCATAATATTGGGACACTGTGGGACCCTTTTCAGTGCAGGTTGTGTTGTCGCTGGTACTGCTGACTCTGTTTTGTTTTGCAGCCATATAAGGCTCCTAGGGGCATGGTTCCTGTCAGATGAAATTCTGGTTAATAAATGTGGAAATACTCCAGTATAAAAATCAGCATTTCTCTTTGTGGTGTGGGGAAAGGGAGCTGTCTCAGCAGCACATCTACCTAAGAGATCAGTGATCACTTTGCTGAGCAAAATGCCTTGGACTCAATACTGTCTGGTGCCTTGTCTTTTGCTCCATGCCTTCACTGGGTGGTTAAGGAGCAGCCTGCAGTGCATCCCCAAGATCTCCTGGCACAGCTGCTTCATCTGCACAGAAAAGCGTGGTGATGCCATAAGTCACAAACCAAAGTGAGAAGAAAAGAACAAGTGTGATTACAGGCARTAGCAGGGTGAGGGAGGAGGCTGCAGTCTGCGCACAAGAAAAACTGGGRTGGCCCTCCTGGTTAAACCTTTAGATGACTAAGATTCCCTTCCCCCATCCAATTTGGTGCTTTATTTGGGTTTTTACGCTTTTTCCTGGTAATTAGGGGTCTCAGTAAGCAGAATTTGCTTATAAACAGCTCGTTGTTCTTGCGGGSTTTTCTTTTGTTCTTTTATTTATTTATTGTTTTAAATGGAAGCGTGAGTGACAGGCTGAGCGGCCACAGAAGGACAATTTGCATGATCTGCTCCATCAAATAGGGTAGAACATGAACTTAACAAGGGATGCTGGCAGCACATTCCTGGCTGAACTTGTCAAAGGGTCTTGTATTTCCCTGCTGTCAGAGCAAATCTTTTGGCTGATTGCTGGTCCTTGGTAAATGAAATCTGAAAGCACATTGGGGCATTCTGCAGTTCAGTGACCATTAATGATCGCCATTTGAAGTTCACTAAACTTCCGGTGAATGGATAGCAGCTATATAACCAGCAGGTTGATGGCTGCAGAATAATAATACTAAAAAAAAAAAAATATCCCTGTGTACTGTGATGTTTGCTAAGAAGTAGGTTGATCCAGACATACTCCTCCTCTGGGCCTCAGGATGAATGACTTATGGCTCTTTCCCATAGTTCCAGGCTCTTGGATTTAGTGTGTCAGGAGCTGGGATTCATCATTATGAAGATGTCCAGGCAAGCGTCTCTTCTTCAAGATGAGCGTTCATGTATTGCATGTCAGCAAATACTGTGATATTAAGCTGAGGGCTGCTGAGCATCCATGAAGTCCCAAGCACAGAGCTAAARGCAGGAGCAGGAGGGAAGTTGCTGCAGTGAAATGTTCCCTACCCAGCTCCCTGGAAGGGTCACATGCTGAGCATGTAGGATGGGGGCATGTGGGTTGGGTTGTCCTCCTCTGCAGATGTGTTACTTGGAAAGTAAAGCTTCAWCCTCCTTCAGATTCTGCAGGAAGGGGATGTGAGAGAGAAATGTTAATCTTTTTCTAACCCCTCTTGTCCTTAAAAACAGTGAAGTTTTTCTGACACTTTCATATCTGACACCCTCTGACACAGAGTGGTTCCAGGGACCCTGTGTCGCTGTGGGAAGTGACCCATGTTGCASAGTAGAGCAGTGACCTCTCCTGTCCTGTGGCTAAGAGCTGCTTCTCCTGGGAATTGCTCTTACCCCGGGGTGATGATCTTTCTATGCCACACACTGCTTTCAGGTGCTTGTAGGGCAGCTACCTGTATGTTTTCACAAGAGAGGATTTTTACCCAGCCTGGGTAACTAATTCTTTGCAAACAGAAGGACCCAGTGGAGACTCAAGTCTCTATTGAATGAGCTTCCAATGTGAGACAGATTAGAATGGACAGGTAACCAGCCCCTCCCTGTTCTTCCCTGCATTGCTCAGGTGGCCCSTTTTCCTCTCCCTCTGGCACGTTCCTGACTTAGAAATACCTTCTAGCCTGAGTCTGCCTCTGACCGGATCCACGAAGTAAGTGAAGATGTTGGGGGGTGGGCAGGGTGKGGAGTGTGAAACTGATGATTTCTAGGTCATGAATAATGCGAGACTTAAATGTTTCAGATGTCATGAAAACAGGCACATGTGTGAGAGAGCAGATTCCTGCGGGATGGCCTCATCTGTGTCTGCTGTGCCTCCTTTGAGTCTCCTTATGAGCAGTGATAACAAGAGGACCTTTCTAAATTAGGGAGCTCCTGCTGCAACTACCAGGCAATGCTGAAGTGGGATTACACACAGACWAGTTTGTGAACCTATGTGTAGTGCAGTAGCAACAAAATATGTTCCAGATTCCCTCTGCCCATGCACACACAGCTTCAGGTCCTCTTCATCTCTGTTTTGTATCATCTTAAGAAACAGCTGGACTCCGTGTCAGAGTCCCAGTGGGGTGCTCCAGAGCTCAGCAGATCTTCCTGCAGTGGTGAGAGACTCTTTCTCAGAGTTCATTCACCAATAAACTTCACTGCTGTGCTGCAGGAGCAGTTGAGGTGAGAACTCTGTGCCTGCAGGCAGTTTTCACATTTTCCAAGACAGGCATCTCAGGCAAGCTTGAGACAGGAATTGCCACCAGTAGCTGCCATGCTTGCTTTGCCTCAGGCAAACCTTCTGGCCATTCAGATGTTGGTGAGCTCCACATCTCACTGCTGCAATGGTGGCCACCGTGTCTTGGCATCAGTAAAGAAGTCTTCTGTGGAGGAGAGAGTGGGGGAAAAAATCTCCCTGTGCACTTGACCATGTTTGCTAAAGTTTTACCTTGCCCTGTGCCCCCCAGCCTGCTAATGCATCCCTTCTGTCAAGCCTGATCGGTGTTTGCTGACATTTTTAATGTCACTGAGCGATCTTGTATCTCTAGTGAACTGTCAGTGTAGAGCTGACTCRGGGCAGAGAGTTTATCATGTTCTTCACTTTGATTAGCTCAGCCTTGTGGGAGGGCAGYAGAAAGCAGAAGAGGCTTTCTTTGAATGCTGCAACATTTCAGATATCCCCTTAAACCATCTCAATAGAGAGAGCCACCATCCCATCTGCCAGTTCTCCTTAGGTATCTGTCATGTCGATCCACAGAGGCCCCTGGGTTAGGACTGAGGTGCAGAACCTGAGCTACATCACTGGAGCTGGATGCTCAGGGTGGAAATAACAGAGAGTGCTTCATGTCAGGAGAGAGGGGCACCGGTGCAGTAATATGGGCAGAAAGCAGGAGCCGTGGGTCAAGATGTATGCAAGAAGGAAAGCTGCTGCAGCCAACAAGCTACAGCCAAGCTACTGCCCCGAGAATATCCTCAGATAGCCTGGGTAAATCCATTACTGCTCATTCTAGCACAGGATCAGTCATTTGTGTTTCCTCTGCTCTTTTGGAAGCCTCTGTGGTTTGTTTTCCAGGTCCCACTTGAGTTAGCAGCGTGGTTGGTCCCATGAAGAGTCCTCACCTCCGAGGCTGGAACCAGTGCTGTGTTAGGCTGAGGACACAGTGCCTGTAATTGCAGGGAGTCCAAGAGCCTGGGAATGGGAAACCCAGCAGGCAGTAGGAGTTGTCAGCACCCCTGAGCTGGGAGCATGTCGCTGAAGGGAGAGTGATTTAATGGAGGGAGAAGGTGGAAGAAGAGGGGTGAAGACAGATTTTCTTACAATGAGCTTGTGTGAGAACATTAGAGAATTATGAGGGTATCAAAATGGCCAGACCAAAGGTGTAACCCAGMTTTTCTTTATGTCAGAGGCCAGTAGCCAATGCTTGCAGGTGTAACAGAGAGACCATGGCTCAAGTCAGCTTTCTCTGATTCCCAGCAATTGTCTCCTCAACAACTGAGAGCTGTCCCCGGACCACTGTGTCAAGCACCCACTGTTTGTACCATGTCTGTCTATCAGGARCTTGTACATCCTTTTCTGAATCTGCTCATGCTTTTAGTTTCTACACCATCCTGCAGCAATGACTTTTGCTATTTAATTATGCATCAATTATACTCTGTTTACTCATATATTGTGTGAAGATGCAGGCCCCTTTCTTTCTTTTAAACCTCTTGTCAGTCCATTTTCTTGGGCCTAGGTCTTGCATTGTGTAAAAGAACACGTATTTCTAGTTCTTCTTCGTGGTGTTCTTCTCAATTTGAGACCTTGGTCATATTCTTGTTCAGTTGTCTCTTCCAGCACAACAAAACTTGGAGGGCTGGAATAATGACACTTGTGGGCTCTGTGACTCTACAWCTGGTTTGTGGAACTTATTTTTAACACAGTGTACAATATCCTAGTCTTCCATTTATTCTCTAGATGTTTTGCAATTAAAACATGAGTGCTTTATGTACCCACTAAGGGTTTGTTTTATTCCCTGTTTCTCCAATATGTTTTTTTTTTAAAGAAGAAAATCTTCATACCCATCACAGAGCTGTCCCTTTCTCTGCACASCTGTCCTGGCATTTTGACCATCTTTGATTTCTGTTCAGAGGGTGCAGCATGTCTTTAGATACAGGAATAGTAGTTGCTTTAGGAGTGACAGAAAATTGGTCCTAGTTTGACATCCTCCTGAAATTCAGGGAAGTTTTTATGAAAGGCARAAGTTGAATGATGTGTGTGAAGGAATGCAACTTTGCTTCTCTATGCATGATGAAACAGTTGACAGAGYCTTGGGGAGCACAACGTGTCCATTCTGGGGTGCTACAGCTGAGCACAGAGCTGGCCTTTTCCAGGGTCAGCCTTTATTGATCTGTAGATACTCCTGGTTGGAGGCAAACTGTTAATACACATGCACAAATGTTTTAAGGTCACCTACTT